CTGGTTCGTCGTTTTTCCTTCTGCCTCTCCCGAGACGAGACAAGGAAAAGCGAGGGGAGGAACAGATGCTGCTATCTCTCCTTCCTCGCGAGCCATCTCTTCCACGACCGTTTCCAATGGCCAGGTCGGAGATGCAAATCCGCTTTTCCTTTTCCTTCCTCTCCTTCTTCATTCGGTCGCGGCCATTGTTGCCAATTCTTCTTTTTCTTTCCTCCGAGCGAAGGAATATCTCCACGATTCGCGTATTCTCGTTCAGATACGATAATGTAACGATAATTTGGATAATTGATTTGGATAATTCTTCGGTTTTTTTTTTTTTTTTTACCTTTTATATCCTCCTCCTCTTCTTCAAGGAATAATCTTTCATTGGTAAAATTCGATCGTTCGGAATTCTCCTCGAATCTACCTTCGATGATTGATTTCGTTCAACATTTCCCCTGAAAATACCGAATTCGTAATGTATTCATGGGGGAGGGAACATTCCTCGACGGAACGCAGGTTGGACATTTTTTTTTCTCTTTTTTTTCACGAATGAATTTTCGGTCGCACGGTGAACGAAACAGTGGTGATTTCCATTTACCTGCACGCGTACATCGACCAGTGACGGGCCACGACGTAGAAAAATAGCCGTCACGAATCGTGGATTTTGGGCGTCCGCCATTATTCCAGCCACTGTCACAATACCTTTCTTTCCCTCGATCAAACAAGATTCGCCGGATTAACCTATTGCCGACGACTATTTTTTTTCTTCTCTTCTCCTTTTTTTCTCTTCTTCTTCCAAGCGGTTCCCTTTCACTTTTGAAACAAAAAAAATCTTAAATTTCGGACCAATAGATATTTTTCTTAAAAAAAGAATAATTACAATAATAATAAATGAAGCACAAAATTTGTTTCCTTCTCCTTTAATAAAAAGAAAAAAAAAAAAGAAAAAGAAATCTCATCTTAACGATCACGTTATTTGAGACACGTTTCGTTCAAATATCCAATTCCCAGTCGCCAAGTTGGAAAAATTCGTGAAAAAATCGATCCCGCGCCGCAAATGTTTCAGATACACGTATACACATACACGTGATTCCATATTAATTCGTTCGTATGTTGGTCTCCAGGTGACTCGGCGTAAGAGGCACGATAAATCACGGGGCGGCCGACGTGGTTGCGTTTCGTGCGGCTCACGCGTCGTGCGTAAGTATATACGCGGTGCCATTAGCGCGATGAATTCGCGTCACGTAGGAGCCGCGTGTGGGAAAACGTGGAACAATACGCGCGCTCACGGCTATGACGAACCCCGGCTGCCATTGTTATGGTAAAGAAACGTCTCTTTCTCACTCTCTTTCTTCTCCTCTTGTCGCTTTAATCAGCGGGAACCGCCGCAACTCACCAAAGCGCGATCGACGCGCAACCTTTCCTCTCCTATTCGGTTCCGTGATTTTTGAAATTATTCCGACGATACACCTGCCGCCTCTCCTTTCTTCTCACTCTCTCTCTCGCTCGCTCTTTCCTCGCTCTTTTCTTACTCTTCTTCCGTTTCGACACGCCGCCGCCACGTCCATCGGTCGCCACCGTCGATCGATTGAATCGAATTTGCCTCGATTTCGATTAGACACAGTACGCGGTAACGTAACGAGGTTAGGTTAGGAGGATGTTATGTTTAATTGTTTTCCGGAATATTAAACTGCGAGGAATTTAAAATTTTTGTGCGTTCTACGTACGATTATGTCGTTTTTTCTGTTTTTTTTTAGTTCAGTCTACTTCAGAGAGTTCATCGACCTAGAATATATATATATATATATATATGGTTATTTCGAAGTCGTTTAAAACTTCTTCGAAATTTTATTCCGTTCATTTTCTCTCTATTCCACTTGTTTGCAATAATCACGGGTTTATTGAAATACAGACACAGGGTACGAAGCTGACTTCACAGCGATTCCAAGATAATGATTCATTATCGATTAGAGATTCACGGAGTGCTGCTCGTGACTTAGCCATTACTGTCGTTTAAATTAATCATCCGGCGATTACGATTATTCGAATGTACGAATCGATGAGACGTTTATAGACAATTACGATCTTTCGTTAATCGACAATTTGACAGACGTGTTTTTCTTTCAAGAATTAAAGGTTGATCACCAATCATCCATCGAGTGAAAAGTCGCACACGCGGTGGGAATCTTCAAACATAACTGTATAAGAAGCTCGTACACGGACAATGGAAATGGTAAGAGGGCCGTTTACTTTTTCCAAAGTACGACGGTGGTCATACCTAATGACACCGTCATCGGATACGATTTGCACGACGTGCCTAACGACACGCAATGCATTTTTTACCGATTAATTAGTTGAAACTTCGTTTGAAACTTCTTTCTTTCTCATACGCTTTCTCTCCACGCATACCAACATCGAAAATTTTTATAAAAATTTTAAGAATCGAAAAGAATTTTTCAAAAGAGGAAGAATACGACAAAAAAAATTGAAGATACATATATACGAATTGTATCGAGCGAAAGTGAAAGAATTTCGTTTCTTCGGAGAGGTGTAATTAATATCAGAAGGGGCGGAAGACGAACGATTTTCCAGCCTGAAACTGATCAACCGGTAATGTTTAAGCAATGAAGATAAATAAGGCGTAGAAGTGATCCGTCTTCTCGCTTCATTAGGTTGCATTCATCCATTTAGCGAAATTGACCAACTGACGTAGCTCACGACGATTATCTTGTCAGCTGCTGACTGACCCTTCGAGTTTCCAATTTTAATTTAATTACCCCCTCTCTCTTCCCTAATTAATTAATTTCACGACACTCCGTGGATAGGCGCGATATTTCTTCAATTTTAAAAACTCTTTTCGATCTAAATTTTTCAAGATTTTCAATCGTAGGGCGATAATTTGTCGGTCGAATAGTCGGTAGAAATTTTTTAAGCGAATCATTTTTTATTGGTGAAAAAGAATATAGGCTTGAGTCTTTTTTTTTTCTTTTTTTTTTACTTATATAGGAAAGAAAAGTTTGAAAGAAGAAGATGAAGTCGTCAACAATGCTGCTTTGGTGTTTCCATGAATAGCCGCAAGATGTTCCAGAAGAAAGGAGGAAACGTTCAAGGAGGAAGCGGACAGATGTCGCCAAAAAAAAGAAGAAAATGGAGAACGATGGTTATTCATCGAGTTACCACTCACGGATTTATTAAATTCAAATTCAATATCACAATCACCCCTTTACCATCGGAAGGAAAGGAACAGGAAAGAGAAGAAAGAGAAAAGATACAAAAGATCAAGAAAAATAATAAAAAGATGGCCGAAAAGTACAAAGAATCAAAGTTTCGAAGCTTCAAAGGAACAACCATCTGTACACGTATCTGCATACATCCCGAAATAACGATATACAAGAATTACAAGATTTCTCAACACGGACAAGAAGCTCAAGATTAATCCAATCCATCATCACAATACCAAAATATAGCGAAATAATTCACATACGATTATTTGTCGTCTAGCAACAAAATTTTCCAAGAATAGAGAAGTAAAAAAAGAACGTTTCGCATTATTTAACAAAATAATTAATGCACGAGCATTAATTTTTTTTTTTTCATAGGAACGAGAAGGGGAAGGCGGAAGAAACGTTTGAAGAGGAAGTAAAAGAGGGAAGAAAAACAAGGAAGGAAATGAGATCGCGATGGAGACGAGAGGACCACTTATTTTAGGCCCCTGCTTCGCAGAAGCGGAATGGAATACACGTTTCTTTAGAGGATTGGTGAGCAACACGTGTGAGGGACCACTGGGAGAAGGATGAAAAACACAAGGTGGTTGTGTGTTGTATCGCTGGCCCTCAATGTAGCGGAAGCCAAGGTGGTTGCAGCCTCCCTGTACGGGCCACTTCCGCCCACTCTATCCCCTCGTTCTTCCTCCCCCTTCTTCCATTCCCACCATAATATCGTTCCTCTCGATCTGACGATTCTTCCTTGTTCCCGCCATCGAAATACTTTTCTTCAGCCTCTTCTTTTCCAACGACGCCACTCGCAACGCCTCCTGCAATATATTTACGTTATTTTCCTGCCAGGAAAGCGGCTGAATTAAGCGAGCTACGATATATTAACAGGGGAGGATGAAAATTTTTGCCTCTTTATGCATCTATTTTTCTGCTTTATCTTTTTACCTGAAGTTTCTGGATAACATTATGTAAGGGAAAAAATTTAAGCGTGGTTATTTATTGGCCCATTTGCGCGAGCTTGGGCAGATACGTTATCTTAATTTTTACTATTTCTATGCGTCTCGTTAAGATACACAAGTTGAAATACAAGTTTCTGTTTAAAATTGAAAATAATCTTTTTATAATTTGCTTTTTTAAAACAGTCGTTCTTAAAACAATTCCATCTTCCCGAGAAACATGGCACGAACAAGTGACGGTGACAGAGGAGAGAGCAGGACCATTGAAAACCATCAAGTTTGAATGAAAGCACGAGAGAGGCCGAGTAAAAAGAGCGCGAGCATTCATAACATCCGGTTCGTTGGAACGTTCGAAACAGTATAGCCGAGCATGCAAAAATTCTCTCTCCTTTCCTGTCCTGTTCCGGCTCTTACTCTCAAGGAAACGACGCGTGGAACTCGAAAACCAGAATAAAAATCCAGTTTTAAAATACAACCGTGTTTACGTGCAGCGAGTAACCACGATTCGAGTGTCATCAGCCTCCCTTTTTCTCAATTCGTACATTATATTGATCAAAAAATATCTAATCATTTTCTTTTCCTATTCACATTTATCTAATTTTCTTATTAGATTAAAGAATGAGTTCTTCTCAAATAGCAGCATCCCAGAAAATATAAAATTTCGATTTTAGAAGATAGATGCAATTTTGGAAGATACATTTGATACATTCACTTCTTCTCTCTCTCTCTCTCGTCTTTCTAGATGTCACTAGCTATCGATTTCTTCAAGAAAAACTTTTTTTAGAGATGATACTCTTTTACAAAAGAATCTCTACGAGACACATTAGCGATTTTGAATTTTTGATCAACGATGTACACCCACAGAAACGACCTTCTCCCGTTACACCGTATCTGTTCTTTTACTTCAGGGCCGAGAAAGGCGGGCAACAAACATAATAAAAAAATGCTTCCTTCCGTTCCGTCTGCGGATCCTGCATCTGGCTCTCGAAGCCGCCGATTCCATCGGCCAACTCTCATCTCCGATATTCAACCTTTCTCCTCCTCTTTCCTTTTCTTCGCCGATTCCTCCGTCTCTGTTCAACCACCGTTTCAATCCTCTTCCTCTTTCCAACTTTGGCCCAAAGTAAATTTTCGAGAGCTACCTTCTGGCGCGCGAATAACTGGCCTGCTGTCGGTGAATCCCCTTCCTCCTCTCCAGGGGCTATCCTTATCTAAGTGGACAGCATCCAAGGCTGCGATCCGCTCCAATCTGTGGAACGGAGATGTTTTAGGTAGGCAGAACCCGCGGAGATCGATCGTCAGATGGGTGGCCGATTCCACGCCCACGAACGGCCGGGAGGCGTTTAGGGTGGAAGATAGGAAATTTTGATATTGGTACCTTGATTTGAGATCCAGGCCGCCGATTTTATTCCCTACGAAAAACTTTTCGCTTCCTTACGTTGGCATCCACCATGTTGGTTGTTGTTATTGTTTTGGTAAATTTGAGGTTATATTCGAGGCTTGATCTCGATTGTAGTTAGGATAATCCTGTTTTGGAGATACTGATTTTTAATCGAAAATTAATATTTCTTAAGATGAAATAAACATTCCAATTTCATTTACATCTATACATATTAAATATTTAAGATAATATTTAAGAACGCAGGATAGCTCTTAACCTATTCTTATACTTATCCTTCATTGCCCTCGATTAACATTCTCGCGGTGTTTTACAACGAAGCCCCTTAAAACAAAAAAAAAAAAAGGAAAAAAAGAAGAATAAAAATAAAAAAAAGAAGATATTCCAGGTAGAGAACGCGATTCAAGGGTTGAAATTTCATTCACGAAGATTCGTAGTGTATTTACTCTCACGAAGCACATGGAGTGTGTATATATACGTGTATTTACGATTCACAGAGGGCTCTATCTACCGTACCTTGACGTAACAAACATCTATAGAGAGACGAGTGTGTGTACGTGAGAGGCTTCTCTCTACGTGGGACAGACGGAATAAAGAGGCACTACGTGCCGGATTAGTTCCTCCCGGATTTAATCTCCAGTGTTTGAGCAGGAACTCGAACAATTAATAATAAGACCTTCACCGAATACTCCGTCCTTTCAATTCAAGGGACAGGATGTCGTCGTGGTTATCGTTGTCCTTGTCGTCGCGACGTCTTGCATCCGCGATTGGGAATCACCGTGGAAACTACCTTCCCATCGTCTCAACGTTACACGCACTCTGAAAGAAAAGATTCTCAACGTCTTGAGTTCGAGTTTCAAATATTTATTTTCGTTAATGCTATATATTTTTTTCGAGTCAAAGAATGAAATGATTAAATGAAAAGTTAATAAGTGATTTATTGGGGAATTAAGTTTGGATTTTTTTGAATTATAAAATTCTATATTATTCTTCCTTAAAAAATTAAATTTCACATTTAAAGAAATTTTCATTGAATCCAACGACAATCCATTATTATCGAAACTCTACCTTTTCACTTTCCATTCTTAAAGAAAAAAATCAAATCAATTTCAATGCGTACTTTTTTTTTTTTTCAAAATTCCTATTCTAGCATTGACTTTGCAAACTTTCCAAATCGATCATTGAACGACAGTTTGTGTACTTATACGATATTCGATAAGGCACCGGTCCCGGCACAGCTGAGAATTAAGAGAGGTCGTACACAGGCAAAGAAGGAAAGCGGAAAAGTCGCGTTCACGGGCATCTGAATAGTTCGGGTCGTATATCCAGAAGAAGAAGTGGGCAGGTCCCACGGGTGAGGAAGGGCCGAGGCAGAGGGCAGCGGCAGCAACAGGCAAGAAGAAGAAGCTGCAGCCGCTTTTTGGGGCCCCTTCTGCTCTCAGCTGCCGGACCTTCCCACGCTACGCGTATGCACCTACCTACCCACCACCTACCCACCTTACTACCTGACTCCTAACTCTGTGTGAGTGTGTATGTACCGGCTGTACATCGAAAACTCGAATCATTTCGAACGGTCGATAAAGTTCCTTTTGCTTGGTATCGAGTTTCTTGCAATTTTCCAAGAGTCTTGATGAGAGCCTAGAAGAAACACACAATATTTTGTTTAGACATTGAGTAATTGATGATACATGCATTTATTTATTTGAGATGTGTTTATGTAGATGGTAAAACGAAAAGAGTTGGAATAAAAGATAATGTATTATAATTTTACCTTAAATAGAGTGAATCTGTATAATAATTGAAAAGGAGATGAGTAAATGACATATACAATGAATATCGAAAAATTCATTTCTCCAATGGAATGTTTCTCAATGATGATTGATCTTGTATCATTTTGAACGATCTTGAATAATCTTGACTTTTAATTTTTTTTCTTATAAAAACTCATTTAAAAAATCCTAGATCCGAGTTCACGAATTTTCTGATTTCACACGGATGCATTTCCATCGAGACAAAGAACTTTCTTGTATCGAGCATCGGACACGCATATAAATGTACATGTGAGCCGAGTTGACCTACTGCTCACCTGCTGCACCACATACACCGGCTACCTGCCAGTGGTCCACCTCATCTGTCTCCCTTTAGAAGCTGATGGCTACCAAACAGTGAAACCTGAAAAGATATAGAGCCGAGAGATTGTGTCAGATTAATATGTTCTATCAAAGATAAATGAGGAAAAAGTTTTACGATATCTTTCGTGTAATTTATCTTTTAGTATATTAATATATTTAGTTTAATATATCGATGTTGCTTCTTGGTTATATCAATTATATTATTAATATTAAAGTCTGAATACACATGTGATATTAATCTTATGGACAGTTTAATTAAAGTTAACACATCCACTTTGTAATCCAATTTTCTTAATCGTTCGTGTTTACGCGCGCGGTTTATCTGAAATGTAAAACGTAAATTAAAAATTGTGAAAATTAAAAAAACAACTTTTACGATAATTCAAGAACATATTTATAATTTCAAGATATTGACCTATATTTCCAAAAGAATTTAATTAAATCATCCATTTCTTCTTCGCCATTTGAAATTTACTTCGATCCCGTTATATTATTCATATCCACGCCATCTTACTTAATCCTCCAAAAAATCGTCTCGAAATCTTCACAACACCGTGCGTCCTTCCTTTGGGAAGTGGATAAAAAAATAAAGGATCGACGCAGGCCATGGAGGAAGTACAGAAGGTAGGTCGCGGGTGCAACGGGTGCATCACAGCCGGATCCTCGAGAAACAGGGTTCAGGTCTCCCACGCCCAAACGCTTCACGATAATGTAATTCCTTTTAACCCTGCTGAACCTTCAAAAACCGTGGGACGTTTTTGGTGTCGGTGCAGCTTGAATCCGCGAACTACACACCTTTCCCTTTTCTCTTTTCTTTTCTCCTCTATCCATCTTATTTTTTTTCTCCTTTCTCTATTTTCTGTCCTCTCTTATTTTACCCTTTTTGCACCTCTAATAGAACTTTTGCAGTTCGATGTAGACAGCTGACGCCTCGTCCCATCATTCGTTTTTTGAAATCGAACGATCAGATTGGAAAGGGAATATAATATCGTGAAAATTTCGCAGTGAACGGTGTTATTTTGTTCCTTGTCTATATTCAATCATTCTCACTTTATAAAACATTTATTTCCTCGTAAGATATTTTGTAATTGCTTATAACAATCCGAGGTTTTATAATTTGTTGTTCATCGAATCCGATCGGAATTTTGAAAACAAGCGAAAGTGTAACGATCGCTATCGCGAAAGCGGCGCTAATTAAAAATACTGCTACTAGGTTATATTAATTGGATTGCAATAAATTGACGCGGCTGACATGACTTGTATATCAATTGCTTTTATCTTTTCCTCTCTTCTTTATCCACGATTTTTATTTTGCGTCAAAACTTTTCTATAAATCTTTGTTGAAAAAAAAAAAGAAAAGAAAAAATTTTTCACGAAAGATTACAACTGGTAACTTGCCTAGAGGTCACTAGTGATGGTGAAATCTTGATACGATTCAGTAACTTTATATTTTCATATGAATGTATAATGAAACTTTGTGCATTCTACCATTATAAATATTTAATTAATCGTAAAACGAAACTGCTTCAAAATCAAAAAATTATCTACACCAAAACTATTTCATCATCACTGATGCCTAGTGACTTAAGATATCACTAGAATTATTATCACTAGATTTAACGAATTGCGTATCTAGCATGACGATATTAGGACACGCATGCTACAATTTCACGTGAAATATTTCCACAGTGGGCAATGGTTGTACGTTTCGAATCAGCGGACTATTAAATTCCGGTAACTTCTGTTATCCACGGAACGAACGAACGAAAGGACGAATTGGAGCATGAAGGGAGAGAAGTGAAGCATACGAACGGTGTACCAGAGGTAGATGTACCGTGGCGGAAAAGCTGTTTTAGTTCGTAATTGATTAATTTCGTGCAGTCTTAACTGGTTACAGGAAACAACTTCGCGGGCGAGAGATCCAAACTCTCTAAAATGCGATGGAACGCTCATAAAATTCATTAGTCACGCTGGATTGTGCATCTTTTTAGATTTTCACGATGTGTTTAAAGAAAATAAAACAAAAGGATTGACTTTTTAAGAGCTGAAAGATTGGAAATAGAAAAATTGGGTCAAAAATTATCTAAAAGACATAATAACGAAGTACATATATCTCTATCTTAAACAAAAAAGAAGAAAAATCATAAGACAAGACAATTAATCGGTGGAAACGAAAGTTTGGCAAAGTTTGAATCGGTTCTAAACAACATCGTAGAAAGTACGATCGGTGCACAACCGCAATCGATTTCTCGTTATTCGCAACAAAGGCATTTCGCGTTTCGCGATTAATTAGCCGCGAAAAGTTTCGCCTGAACAAATTCCTTCTCTACAGACTTCGCCATTCCATTTTATCGATCTTTATAAATCGTCCTTTGGCAATCTCATGAAATTATTTTTCTTTTCTCAAGTATTCTCTTAACGATATTTTTATTACATTTAAAAAATTGATATATATCCAAATTTACAATTTTCGTAAACATAACAACTTTCACATCAGTATAGTGCATCATGAAGGATTCAGATCGGTCATCGATTATAATATCGAGGCCATTAGAGAGTTAATATCTCTATCCCTCGAACATATTTTTTTTTCCCCTCGAAACAGTGACACGCAATTGCTGAACAGCTATTATCGCCTTACACAAATAATCGTGCTTGGTGTCAAACATCCGATCGGCACGAATACAATGCGGGATCGATAATCGCGGCAGAATGCGGCATGGGCTGGCCACCACAGGCACAATCTGTTCCTTTTCTGCACGATATCTGGCCTGGATGGGTCGGTTGCATCACCTGCGCAAACTGAACGATACTTACACGCTACTGTTACGAAAGTTGTCCCGCAACCGGGCGTATATACCCTTCGGACTACGTTCATCCGCGTGCTCTTCCCAGCCACTCGTGATAATGCATGCATTCGCCGCCGCGAAAGTATAAACAACTTTCGAATGGCACACGCAGCGGAGCCAGCAGCTGTGAAAGCAGAAATTTTTTAGGCTCGTGCAGATATAAAGAGGTTGCTCGCGTTCGTTCTCGCCTTTTTCGCGAAACACGGGGTTAAACATCGGAGGGGTGCAATTGTTGCCATGCGAAATTGCCTCCACTCCACTCCATTGTTTGCTTGCTCTTATATATTATCGGTTGCCATAAGATGATAATGATAGAGTCAACAACACGCATCGCATTGTAATAATTAATTTAATAATTGCTATATTAAAAATTGTAACATATTGGAAATATTTTTGAGCAGCGATTTTTATAATGTTATAATGTTAATTAATAATCTTTGATAATCGAAGATATTGAAAAATAAATGTCTAAGAAATTATATATGTTATTTAACGGTTGACGTGTTAAGTTTTGAAGAAATTTGGGAATAATCTAATAAATGAAACGAGAATATCACGGAAATCGAATGCTTACACAACGAATTCCCAAACTGTGGCAACCTGTTCCTCCGGTATCACGCTATAAATAATTGCACGATGGGGCCAAGAGCAAGATAATTACGTATCTACTAACCGGGGAACAATTATGTTATCGTTGGATAAATAAGCTAGACGAAGTGAACGGTTAAAAACGATGATCATTACCGATGAACCGTTTCCAACGATTCTATGCCCGCAATTACGGGTATATAGAATAATTCGTATGCACGGCACGCTTAGCGGCTGCCGTTTAGTAACGCTCAAGTGTATCACTACAAGTCGTTATTTCTGGCATTACCTGCCTCCAACCATTCCAACGTGATATCTAACTAATAATTACTCGGTACAAAGTAACCGGTTGTTAGTTTGTATAATCTAAATTGAACGATTAATGTCTCAATTTACATAGTTGAATGTAAACCGCATTACACATTTATTATTATTAAGTTGACGAATGTGTGTATCGTACTCTTTTTAAATTTCAGTTTTTTTTTTTTTTTTTTTTTAATTCTAAGAGTACAGAGTAGACTGTTATCGTGATACTTCTAAGCAGCATCGAATCCTCGTGACGAAACAACACTTGGCCCAGGTCAGTGGACGTGGCAGGGATCGATATTTCTCGATCGATTCCTCGAAACACCGCGTGTCTCTGGAAGAATACGTTCATCAGGTGTGCTGGAGCGCAAAGTCGGCGGAGGAAGGGGAATCTGCATACTTGGTTTCACGCGGAGACGTAATCACAATGGGCCACATACCTGTGTACCCAGTCTACGAAGAATGCACGGTGCCATGCCATTCTCCTCTTCCTTCCTTCTACCGCTGCCATCCCTCCGCCACCTTTTCTTTTCGCAATACAACAGCCAGTCCCATTAACGGCGGAGAAAACTTTGAAAACTCGAATGAAATGGACGAACCGGTTGGCGGCGGCGGTTGAGAACAAGACAATTTCTTCCTTTCTGCTGGTTTATGACGGCTGGAACAAAAAATCGGACAACAAGAATTTAGGTACATACGAGAATTGGATACTTTATTCTTGAACTCTAATTTTAACATGCTTATTTTATTTACAAGTTACGTTTATAAATTACAATTAAATTTACCTGCGATTCACTATTCCTTCTTGCTATTATTATGCAAGAGAACTTGTAAAATTTTATCACCAATATTATCTTTTGTAAAATCTAAAACAAATGGATAGAACAGATAGAAATAATGTACATAACAAACACGATGGAAAATAATAATAAGCGATACTATTACTCCTATTTCAAGTAAATCTATCCTCCCATCTTTCCTCTTCGAACAGCATCAATTGCTTCCACCCCATCCATCCACCTCCCGGACGCAAGAAATCATCCAAGTCACAATTAGCCTCTCGCAGAAGGTGGCTCTCCTCTTCTCCTTCTCCAGCGAACCTATGTGGATCACGGAGAGAGATGGGGCGAAGGGCAGAGACGCAGATGGTGGAAATCTCGGGCGAATAATGGCGAGGGACGTGAGAGGGGGGGAGAAGGTTTTTTCGAAGACGACGACGACGACGATGGGGAAAGACACGGAAGGTGGATAGCACCTGGTGGTCGTCAGGGCCGGTGGTAGTGATGGTGCCTTCTGGTGGTGCGGCCAGTGATGGTGGTGGTGGTCGAACCACGATGCAACAGATGCTACGGGAGAGGAGGCCCTCTTTCTCCTCTGCATGTGCCATCTTTTCGGTTGGTCCGAGTCGTATGTACAGGTTTTCTTCTTTTTTTTTTTCTGCGACACGGCCTTCTCTCCATTCTCGTGGCCCCGGAAATAATCTCTGGAGATTATTGGGGCGCGGCTCGGGACGAGTGGCGGCTGGGGGATGAAATGTACTTGTCAATGTTCGAAGGGAGGATGATGTCGAGTAGCGGGTGTCGAATTTTTTTCATCGATGGGTGGTGAAATCCTTTATATTTTTTTCTTTTTTTTTTATGTCTCTCATTATTTTCAGGGTGCAAAATTTAATCACGAGAATTTGTAGTAGGACTGAATTGTTTTTTTTTTTTTCTAGAAGAATGGAGCTTTGGTTGATGAAGACGTAGAAAGGGAAGAATTACTCGTGGTTGAGAAAGCAAATTGAGAAACAGACCAACCTTTTTCACAGGTATCCTGAAAACTGATGCCCGTGGAAAACTTGGAATAAACTTCATGGATTCTGCAAATGGCTTTCGTAAATTCACTTCCGGATTCACTTGAGTAAGCAGGTGCTTTGTGCGATTTTTAAATAACTCAGCAACACCTAAGTAAAAAATAAAGGAGATAGAAAAAGATATGTATAAAGATAAGGAAGAAACGAAAGGGGTTAAGAATAAGAAAGAATAAAGATTGAAAAGAAGATAAAAGGATACCCCTTTCAAAAATTATTACCTTTCAAAAATGTAAATTTATAATCCACGATTTTTGACCTTTAATTTCTCTCGAGTGCGTGTCGACTTCCACTAGGCGTTGCCTTCGAGGAGCCTCACCCACCAAGGTCAACCATTTCAATCCATTTAACGAGCAATTCCAAGAGTTTCGATCGAATCCCGTATACTTTGGAAGTGTTCCCGTCCTACACGAGAATTGTACGGATATAGAAGCAGGAAAACGAAAGTGGAAAGATCATAAACTAGGACTGGCGTCTTCCTGGGGAAAGGGTTGCCAGGACGTCTTCCCCCTTTTTTACAGCACGCCGTCTGGCACCAAGAATAAGTCTCCAGAGCTTAATAAAGAAGGCCCCGTAGGGTTGTTCAACCCTCCTCTTGCATGACGCGAGATTTCTGAAGTTTTTTTATCCCTATTTTTCTCCTTTTTTTTTTTTGCTTCTTCTAGTAATTCTATCGTCTGCAGCATCCTGTTCTTGAGGGGAGTGATCGATAGCAGAGAAAGGGTTGAAAGAAGAATTTGTCAATCGTCAATTGTGCTTGTTGGTTATTTGAAGACATTTTGTATGCTAGAAATAAAACAACGAACGAATATTTATCAGTGGGTTTGCAAGTGATTCTAAGAAGCTCGCGCATGATCAATAAGATAGAAATAGATTGCAAAATTATATCGAGTGTAATATAATAATAGTATAACCAACATTATTAATCATGCACGCGTTCTTTAATTACGATTTTTCTTTTGTAATCACAGAATCGAATGAAGAGAGTTGAAGAGAGAAAGAAAAATTTTAAGAGGAGCGTGTGAAGAAGGAAGAAATAGGAGAAGTAAGGAGATGGTGGTAGGCCTTCTGTTGGCCCAGAAGGTCTTGCAGGGTGGAAAGCTCGACAGAAAGGAGTCAGTCGTGAAGCGGAGTGAACGAGCGGAGCAGTGAAAGAAACGAGTCGACCGGCTGGCAAACTACTTCGATTGCTGCCTCGATCGAAGCCGGCAATCTGTCGTCCTTGCGCCCTCCTCAGATCCTCTGGGAATCTTTGTCGAATCCATTGCCAAATCTCTCCACCACGTTCCAGCCATTTCTTCCTCCTCTTATTCCTCCTCCCTTTCCCAGTCTCTTACATAACCTTTTTACAAGGGAAGATTGTAGATATCGACTGTTTTTTGGCTGGAATCCTTTGAGAGAGAGCCGAGATGAATATCGAGGCGATAAAAACATATATATATATATATATTCTGAAAACGTGTATTAAAAATTTAACTTGAATTCATTAAACAAACAAGGAAATTCATACTTTCTTTCTTCAACTCACCATAACTCTTTTCACAAGCTGCTCAAAATTCATTTATCCCTTCCAGCCATATTTCTAGATCTAGATCTAATGCACGAGAGGACACGAAAGGATGCATTTGCTCGAAACGCAACGAAGTACTCGAGGATTGAGGAAATTTCATGCCTCTGCACGGCATCTCGCAGATAAGAAAGAAGATGATCGAGCGTTAGCCGGGGAGGTAGAGGGCGAGGAGCAGCTGCAAGACACCCCAAAAGTACCGAGCATCTTTTGAATCACTGTCTGGGCTCCGTATACCTCTTGTCTTCCCCTGATCTTCTTCTTCTTCGTCATCGTTGCTGACAGCGCAACGGTCGTTTCCAACAGTCCTGACTCGGAGCAAAAGGAGCGTTGTTGTTTCGAATCGATTTGCGTTTAAGGGATAAACTTTGGGGAACGCCATAAACAGGAGGCGTTTTTTCTTCGAATACTCGTTTCTTCTATCCTGTGGAAAAATTGGAAAATATTAATCGATCGTATTTTCTTGAACGATTATTGGATATTACATTTTTCCCACCTTGGAAAAGCCATTTTCCTCTTTCCTCCAATCTTCCAGTTTGCAAAAACTTATTCCCCTTCGATATTTCCAATCCAAACAATCTCCATTCTCCCATAATCCGTAAATTCCTCACGATTTTCGCCACTCTCGCCTTTCCCCCAAAAGTCCTTTCATCAAAGCTCGAGTCGTCCATTTATTTCGTCCTCGAGTCACATCTCGTTTCATCGACACCTGCTCATCCATATACCTGGACTCTCGAGCTCGTTTCCGTTGACCCAGTCCTATTCTCTATCAGGGAAACGACCGTTGCGATTTCATCGGATCGTTTGCGTAGAGGGAAGACGATAGAAGAGGGGAGAAGGATTCGTACGGGGAAGCGTGAAAAGATTCTCTGAGGAGAATGTTAGGGATGTTTATACGCGCGAACAATGGAAAAGACACAAAAGATTGACATTCGTCTTAGGGTCAACGACGATAAGTAATGCCCCTTCGACTCTCGTAATTAATCGCTTGATCATCCAGGATCAGCGAGTTTACTTATCCCATTATCGATGGTCGTTTGCCAGAAATACGCGTTAAAAGAAGCGCTATGTTATTTGTATTATTACGACGCCCAGTTTATTACCAAATAATAGCCTTTCACTTTACCAATGAAAGTTGATTATGCGACTTCAGCACTCGATCTTCTTGTTCTTCATCTAATTGTATTGGATCGTATTTTCTTGTACCTATAACGAATATTTAATTAATAACGACGAGATAATTATATCTCTCTGGATAATTATATTCTCTGACCTGTTTCTCTTAACTGCTGTTCTTGGAGTAATCTTAGATTATTTAATTATTAATCCATTTTTAAGAATATAATTTTTATAATTTTGCTGTTGATGCGTGACTTACTTAGTCATGTAATCGATTAATTCAGAAACTAGCTCTATTTTTTTTTTTTTTCGAACAGCCATCAACGACAATTCGTTCTTGATTCTTTACAATTTTATTACACATTATGAAAGGAGTAATGGCGCCATATATAATTTCACAAAATTGAAGAATCTGGAATTAATATTTTCTGATTATAATATTCGCGATTTTTCTATTAGAAAATAAAAAGTATCAATGATCATTCGAATTAACGCCTCTTCATTGTGCGGAAAAAAAGGAATTGGCTCAAATAACCTGAATACAATATTTGATGTTGAATCGTGGCCGGTAATCAATCAGCTTCCGGTCATCTGCACCCATCGGCTGCAGATCATATAAGCTTCAATAATGATTCAGTAATGAAACTCGGAATGATTGCTTCAAAGGAGCATTATCGGCAAATAATTCATCAGTTCCTTTAATGAACAGTTACTCGTGATAAACAGAGTGTTTTACCTTGCCACGCCATTTGCTCAAAAATTCTCGCGCTACCGTGGAACAGCTGCGACACTGTATTTAGCAACACTTAACAATTTATCGACAAATGAGCGTAACCTGTGTCGAATTTTAAATACGCGTTAGTATCGTGAGAAACATTCTTGAATTTTATAATCGTTAACTCTTTTCCCTTCTTTTACGTATATCTTTTTATATACTTCTTTCCACTTTTACACATCATTTCATTGATCGTGTTCCTCCCATTCGATTCGATCTTACGTTTTATCTAAAATTTCTTCTCCCTTAAAAATCAACATTTATAGATTTATTCCATCGAATTAAATCTTCGAAGAAAATTCGAAAATTCTTATAAAATTTCCAAAAAAAAAAAGAAAAAAATTGATAATAATTCGTTTGTTTTATTATTTAAAACACTTCCACCTCGTTAATTAATAGTTTTCACTTGAATTCATCCGTGACCAGAGAATTCGGTTCGAGACACTACGCTTGTTCACCTGCGATCCATCAACCTGTAATTAAGTGGAAATTGATGTATTATTAAATAGCAATTACACGGAACGATATAACAATATAATAGCGTGAAACTGGCCAGGGATGGTCCTTAAAAATGCTTGTCACTTCGCGACAAGTTCGGGAAAAGTAGCGAGAGCGAGATCCGATTATCGGTCATTTGCGTTAAAATACACGCTCCGTACGCGTCTCGAGTGACAGGTGACTGGACATACGTATCGTGTGATCGAATTTGACTGATGAAGGGAGAGACACGCTGCTGGGCATCGTTTACTACTACCTTCTCTTACTGCTCTCTCGTCCCCGTGCATCCTTATCCGCGTAGCGATTTCTCTTTTTTCAGAGATGATTTATGCGATCGTTGAATATTTTTTTTTCCCCGTAGTACAAAGTTACGCATAATATTACGACAGGCGTGACACTGGAATTAAGCTCGAGATGTAAATATAAAAATTACAATGTTTCGAGGAGAATAATGAAATAATTAAAATATATACAGTTACATGGAAGTATGTTATGAATAACGTAAGTTTAGAAATGGCGTCCACCATTCTTTATCCGATCGTTACCATCGAGACTATAAAGTAGTCTTGATTTCCAATTTTACATAGCATTCTTCAACGCTATTTCTTTTTTTTTTTCCTCTTCTTTCTTTTGTTCCTTTTTTGCATCTCACTGTTTTTTTTTTCACGCCGGTATCTGCAGCAATAGAAAGTTTTTTCCGTCATTTTCTTTGCAGCCCGAGGAAACCCTCGTCGAAAAATCCCTTGGCAGCTGTTCACCCTCGGCACGGAAGTGATCCCGAGCTATCGGCTTCTCCGGCGCATGAAAAAACGGAAGGGAGGCCAACGAACGCGTTCAGAAAAAATTGATTTTACCGGGGGTTGAAGAAAATCCGGTCGCTGGCACGCTTCCTCGTCGCGTTTAAACCGATTAACAGCCAGCCAAATCAATCCATGTATTCATTCGAGATGTCAGTTTCTTCCTTCATGCCTTGACTTCCAAAAGTTCACGAATCAAAGATGGGGATAAACATAATAGAGATTCTAACGTTATAATTCCAATCTATAATTTCTATTATTTACGTCCATATCTTATCTGAAAGAAAATTATTTTAAAATTACAGTCGATCCAACGAAGCGAGATAGAAAAAAAAGAATGGCTAATCGAATCCAGTCATTATCTGATCATCTCGACGGCAGAATATAAAACATCGCTGATAAATTAACCTCACTTTTTACGTTGGTCACGCGTGGAGAATTTAATTATCATTGTTTGTTCGTTTGTCACGGCCTGCTTTCCCATCCAAGATACAATACAGTGGCACCCAGTGTGGTGTTACGTAGATTTCATTCAAAATATTGCACGTTCGAGAGCAAGAAAGTAAGAACGACGATGGACAGCGACAGTGGTATGTAACTGGGCACGTGGCACCTGCCGGCACCGTTATTGGCCTCGTTAACGCGACAGGTCTCGGTACGAATCGAAAACATTTTCCAAAACGAGTAGAACCTCGGTCTTCCGCGATCCAATGCTTTTTTGAATTCATCTCCGTATACAGAGAAATTTATGCATATCCGTTAAGAGGACAACAGCAGATTCATACAATCAGGTCATTTATATAATGGGAGTGAGCTTAATTTTTAATTTTGTTTCAACAAGTTCTCAAATTTTTATAAATTTGTTTCAAATTGCTAATTGTTAATGAATATATTAAATTTAATTAAATAATATTTTATAAATTATACAAAACATACATTAATGTAATACTTGAATTGTTAAAGTATACTTGAAAAAGTATACTTTATATATATTTGTTATAATATCTTGAGAGTATATAGATACTAGATGTTAGTGTACTTCCAATTGTCTCTGATGACAACCTGGTTTTAGTTTTGAAGTAAGCTTTAATCTCTGTGAGTAAATTAAGAAATCAATTTGCCAGCGATTTTTAAAAAATTATTATTCTCTATATGAATTGTTTGATATTTTAAAATGCTATCATTCAATGCAGATTTTTCGTATGAAAATTATATGCAAAGAAATATATAGATTGTTATATGAGCAACAAAGATTGGAAGCGTTGTGCAAGGGTAATTTGTTACGTTGATAGAGAGGCGCCTATTCTTTTCTCCTTAAAAATACAACGTAGAGGGATTGCGGTTGATTAAGATTATATCCAGTGATGAAGCAATCCGCAGTTATAGATGTCTTAAAGATAGCACTTAATGATCGTTCGTTAAAGATGTTCTATCAACGAGTCTACCTGCAAAAATGATCGAGGAAAAAACGGACTCCGTAATTTAAACAGTAATCAATTTTCTTCTCTTTCGCTTGACAGTGAACTGAACACTTTGTTGATTATATGTAAGAAAAGCTTTGCGCATTTTTAACTTTGAGACAAGTGTTCAGACGCCTACGACTTATTCCAACGTCAAATATCCTTTTAATTCCTGTTATTATTTAAGAAATCTTTGCAGTCTTATTATTCAAGAAATTCTTTTCAAGATAAAAATATTTGCTTTCTTTTATTTTCAATCCTTTGTTGCCAGTATTATTATTAAGACATTCTTATTTAACTTACAAATATTTATGTCTGAACTACATGCTCAAGCAACTTAGTATTCAAAATAGTATTCAATTAGCAATCTTGTAATTTTAAATTCTTTTTTTCAATCAATTCAATTTTAACAATTCATACATTTAATATTCCAATTATTTAATAATAATTCTTATATATATGTATTACTTTTAATTAAAATTCTTGTAAATCAATGTTTCATATTTGATATATATCTATTTTATTTTAATTATCTAATATTTTAATTTATTTAAAACTCTTTTTTCTATTAACATTTATATCCCAATTACCATTTGTATAACTTAAATCCAAATTCTATTTTTTTCGATCAATATCTTCTTAAATCTCCATAAATTAATCCTCCATAAATTTTTCCATTTTAATCATTATTGTATATTGAAAATCCAGATCGCGAAAATCCAAGAATCTAGAAGAATCGACAAATGTTATACGATGCAGCCGGCTTCTTTAGCAGGTATAGGGCATTTACTTACAGCAAGATAGATATTCACGACAAAAGCATGTTTGGATTGCTGGTGCCGTGCCAGATGTAGTGTGCATCAGAAAGAGGAATCCGAGGGTGGAGATTGAAACGGAGACGAGTAAAGAGATTCACTGTACTGCTTTCAACCGTCGAGAGATTAGCAAGCCCTACACAAACCTGCGAACACCTTTTTCGCCTGATTTCGAGGCAGTAAGGTGACACCTGCATATATGAAGTGAACACATGGTGATCGCGTCTCTTCAATGATGATTCAAGTAATCATGATTTATCGATATTATAAAAATTAATAATATTTTACATATTCTTATTTTTTTATTATTTATTATTATTTTTTAATAATTTAATTCTCTTTATCATATTTTAATATATATATATATATATATATATATATATATATATATATATAT